TGGTCTCTGGGTCGAGAGATCGGACGCCCGTATATATTGTAAACTTATCAATTAACAGAAAGTGTATTGATCGGCACTCATAGAAAGAAGAAGAAAGATAGAAGAACACACTAGACAACATAAAAATCGAAAGCTATAGTTACCGTGCCGGGAATTGAACCTGTCTATATATATTGTATAGATGCGCACGCAAAACGCCGCTACCCGGGCAAAATTTCGAGTTTAAACTCTACCGAAAGTATTTTTGCTACGGAGTTCGTGCAATGCGTTGAGATTTTTCGCACTTAGGCTTTGGTTAGAAGTAGAACGAAGCACTTAGGGGTTACTACCCTTGTGCTATGATGTTGATTCCTTGTTCAAACTATTAAAGACTAATTCCTTAATGGAAACTTCGGCAAGTTACGTGTGGAGTTTTAACGGTTATTAAGAAGTCGTAGCATATGGTGCTATAATTACTTATAGACTGGAAAATGAAAAAGTGCGACCAAAAAAGCGGGTGTCGTGCTCAGTAAGGAGGTCAAGTTATAGTGCTAGCTTCTTCTTCTTCTTCTTCTTCTTCTTCTTCTTCTTCTTCTTCTTCTTCTTCTTCTTCTTCTTCTTCTTCTTCTTCTTCTTCTTCTTCTTCTTCTTCTTCTCTTCCACCTTGTACCTCATCGAAGTGTCGGGGGGTGATGTAATGTACGTTGATGAGCTCTGTCAAGAGCACTATTAAGACTGATGTTCATTTCTGTAAGGCTGTTTTTAATGCCATCACTCAATATTTTCCGAGGTCTTCCACTCGCTCTATACCCGTAGTGCTAGCTAGTTACACAACAGTTCGGAAATGTCAAGAGCTTTACTATGTACAACTGGTCGTAGAGCAGGTTGTATACCCAATAATCCATTTTTTTAAAAATCGCCACTCCTCCTGACACAGTTAGAAGCATGCAGAAGTAGCAGTCATTTACCTGATTGTTGGGCTCTCTCCAAACAATAGGAACTGAAATAGGAAGACTAGAACTAAATCCAATCATACAATTAATTAAACTACAAACGATAAAACGGCCTGGTCTTCTGATGAGAATGCCCTAGTACCGACTGCCATAGAGAAACATGATGACGAAATATAATGCACCTCATTTAAAGGGAGGGCTGTGTACACAAACTGAATAATGAAATCAAGAATAACCTAAGAGACATAGAAGTAGTGTTTAGGGAGGAAATGCGTATAATTTTAGAGGGTGGCTGCTACTTGTGCTTTGTAAAACCACATACACATGAAAAAAAGAGGGAATAAAAGCAACACCCACCTCCTGAGCGGAGGTCAGTTGCAGATCGGGGTCAGTAGCGGCACCGGTAAGCAGGGATCAGATGGCGGCTCAGGGTCACAGTGAGGCTCGGTGGTGTGAGGTCACCTGATGGCTTGAATGAGCCTCTTGTTTGTTCGTGAGTGGTGGGACAGACGTAGCTGAACAGAAGCATATAATGCTATGACTTTTTAATATAGCAAAATAGTAAGGAAAAAAAATGAGTAAATGGGGTTAGTGTCGTGTCTCAAACGTTGGATACAGATGTTCAGTGAGAGGGTCAAGTCGTAGTGTGTATTAGTTAGATGAGTAGTTTAAGGAACCGAGCGACATCATAAGCCGTGCAATGTATATCCCAAATTGGTCACTGGCCGTAGTAAGTCGTTCACTGAAGTTGTTTTTTGGTAAGTCAACAACTTGATACACCTTAAAAAGCTCAAGGTACTTTACAAGTTTTTCCCGGGCTTTAGCAAGTCGGTCATGAAAGATTCCTGATAAGCCCATCACTATCATTGGGATGCCAAAAGTCACTCGATGTATTCCTCCTTGGGTACACCTTCAGTCACCCAATAGATGGCTCATGTCTTTCACTGGTCTTAGCAAGTCGGACCTTGAAGCTGCTTGGTAAGTTCTTCACTATTAGGAGGACACACTAAGTCACTCGACATTTTTATACCTTGAAATATTTTGAAGCAACCAGAGTTGTTCGCTGAAGATCCTCGTTAAGTCGTTTCTCAGACATAAGATTAATCACTTGTCACCATGAAGGACAATGTAACTCATTCGATGTCTTTGTCCTTTGGGACAGCTTAACAAGTTCAGTGTATTTCCTAATTGGTTCATAAAAGTGTTTTGGTAAGTTGGACACTATCTTTGGGACAACTTTAGTCGCTCTATATATTTTTCTAGTTGGTCACTGGTCTTGGTAAGTTGTTCATTAAAGGCTCTTGATAAGTCAACCGCTATCCTCTAGACACTGCAATTTATTCGATGTCTTCTCCTTTTGTAGCACTCTAAATCACCCAAGGTAATTCTCAAGTCGTTCATGGAAGTTCGCTAGTAGGTCGACTACTATTTGTGGGACACCTTAACTCCCTCTATGTATTTTATTCTTTGAGACATAATAAGTAGCACAGAGTAGTTCTCAAGTGGTTCATCGAAGTTCCTTGGTATGTGCGGCAGCTTTCCTTGGGTCACCTTAGGTCACTCAGTATACAGCCTGTCCTTCACTGGTCGGCCACTGAAGTTCTATGGTAAGTCCGCGACAATCCTTGGCCACACTTTAATTCAATAGACGTTTTTCTCCATAGGATATTGCTTGGTATCTTACTCCACAAGTCATTAAAGGTACTTAAGTCTGTAAGGGCTTGACAAGTTGGCCACCGAAGTTGCTTAGTAAGTCATTCACTGTCCTTGGGACACATCAAGTCACTTTACATCTTTCTCATGTGGGACATCTTAAGTCACTCAATGTATGGAACAAGTCTTTTGCTGGCTTTCCCTGACAAATTTGACACAATGCGACTTTTATAAAGCACATGGCGACTTTTAGAAAACGCAAGGTGACTTTTAGAAAACACAGGGCGACTTTTAGAAAACAGAAGACAACATAGTGACCATATTGTCAGTCTTCTTAATAACCTGTTTGTTTCACTGGTCATGTCAAGTTTCTACAAGCAGCTTCTTTATCCTTGATACTGATATATTGTTGCAATGAGCCACCTTAACTCAGTCGAAGTCTTTTAGTCTTACTGTAATTTTGCAAACTCGGCAACATCATCCCCCTAGCTGTCTGACGTTTGCCCTAACCACTGTTCTCGGTATGTCATTAATGACGCTGCGATTGGTCAGAAAGTCTAAAGAGTGATTTTAAATGTCAGTCTGCCCGTCTAGCTAATTAGTCGCTTTAACTAGTTGTCTGACCATCCGTGTTCCTTAGTCGTCTTTCTAATTGTATCATAATTGACTGTACGCTTTTTTACAAAGTAAAAAAGCAGTCTGCACGTCTAGACAATTGTCGTTGCTACAACTAGCTGTCCTACAATCTGTTTCCCTGGGTCGTCTGCCTGGTTGCATGGTTGGTGGCTTTGTCTTATGTACCTTTCCAAGTCTCGTCAGCTATTCTTCACAAAGGCTATCTTGCTATCTTAAAAACTGATGACTTGACCGATTTTAAAAAGAAGGCGAGGAGGCAGGAACCTCTGGTTGGGTTACAGCCCCTGTGACCCACCATTCCAGTTTTGTATTAATCATTTAACAATTACTAAAACAATTTTAAAAGAAGAAGAGAAACATAAAACGAACAAGAATAGCTAACAATGAACACAAGAATAAATTTGAAGAAAAAAAAACTCAATTTGCTTATATTATGCATTTTATGTTAATGGTAGGGAGCATTATAGTGCAATAAAATAAATACATACTTATAAATTGACCTTTCAATAGTTCACTATTATAAATCTGTTCGAAAAAACACCTAAAATTTGGTATGGAAAGTGTAAAGTAAAAGTAACGGACACTTTTCCATGCCTTTAGGCGTATAGGGAATATAGACTAGACCTATATTTTTAAAGAAAAATCGGCACAAGATAAGCATCACGCCGGCCGCCTTTATTTCCCAGGTCTGCACCCGGTACCCACTCAAGGCTGGGTACACCTGGAAGTCAAGGTCATTTTTTTTTAAATCCGCCAGGGTGGGAACCGACGGCCTTCTGATCCACACGCAAGCTTTAAACCGCTATGCCACAGCGACTTCCTAGTTACTAAAATAATTGTCTAAAGGTCCATCACGTACAGCTTTATTTTGAATTATTCATTAAACAAAGCTTTAAGAGCTGCCGTGGAGTAGAGGCTAGACTCGCCTGCGCATCCGAAGGCTCAAAACTCGTATGTTGTCATTCTTTTCGTTTTCTCCCGAAAATTACATTCACTTTCAGTTCGACCTAGCCTTGAATGGGTAACAGGTGTAGTCCTGGGAAGTAAAGGCACGCAGTTTGACGTTAATCAAATTATACACCAATTGCTGATTGTTCTATAAAGTATGGGTCAGGCACTATACATCTAATACACCTCAAGGCGTGGAGAGGGGTCATTTGCCATAAGCCAGAATGCTTGGGAAAGAGACCTTTGTTTTTAATTCACTGTCATACATCCGCTATTCTTCTTCTTGTTAGCGTTCGCCTGTTGTAAACTCCGAATAAAATCTTTAGTTGTTTGCCCACTTGTGGACTTTGGTACTCCTTAAGAACTTGTTTGTGCGCATCCGTTTTACAATATTTTAAATTATGCAGACTGTTGGTTCTTCGCCTCTCAGGCAGACGCACGTCGACTTCAAAGGATACGCCCCTAAATTCTGACGACACGATTGTTGAGGGCAAAGGGTCTTCCCTCCCCCCACCCACCACACTCACCACACTATGGGATCCCAGAACCCACACAGGGGTTCAAAGAAGTAATGATTGGGGCATCTTGTAAACACCCTTCCAGCCTGGTATGGCCTGCAGTTTTTTTTTTTGGGGGGGGGGGGGTGAGAAACGGTTAAGGTACCTATAGCGATTCAGAGCGTGTATACAACATTTCCTGATTTAGCAAGCTAATTGCATATGTACATTTGTACAGTAAATGTGTACAGGGATTACATTATAGTGTGTTATCAAACACGCGTTTAAAACATATCCAGCGACATTCCAGAAGCATGGTTGAAAAAAGAGAGAATCAGTGGCCCCGAACGAATATTGGGATTGACGTGTTGATGTCTTCTAGTTCTCTGGAGTTGAATATGATGATTATATCCCCCTGACCTGTTTTCTCCGGCTGTACCGGAAGTGACGCCGAGAATGTTCCGTGGGGAGGCACGTTTCTGCAGAGGAGAAAACAGATAGAAATCTCTTTCAGTCCAGGATAACACTATTGTTTAGAAAGACGGAAAAGTGCCAACTATTCATAAGAGATCTACTTCATGGACCAGAAGAAATTTTTGGGAACTATTGCACTAACCATACGGATGATAATCCTAAATAAGGTAGTTCAGTATATATATATATATATATATATATATATATATATATATATATATATATATATATATATATATATATATATATATATATATATATATATATATATATATATATATATATATATATATATATATATATATATTGATAATACAAAAATAAAGGTTTATGAGTCTTGTGTCCTGAGCACATTATTGTACGGCTGCGAATCCTGGACTCTCTATGCTCCACAGGAAAAAATACTGAATACCTTCCATATGCGCTGTCTGAGACGCATCCTTGGTATATTATGGCGAGACCTTGTCTCCAACGAATGTGTGCTCACAAGAGCAAAAATACCATCAATGTATTGTATACTGAAGCAAAGACGTCTGCGCTGGCTGGGACATGTCTCCCGCATGGAGGATGGTCGTATTCCAAAAGATCTCCTATATGGTGAATTGGTAACTGGGAATAGACCTACAGGAAGGCCAAAGCTGCGCTATAAAGATGTATGCAAACGTGACCTAATAGATACCAACATAGGCACAGAGACATGGGAAAAATCAGCTGCAGATCGACTACTATGGAGACAGAAAGTGAAAGACGGACTGTCACATTTTGAAAGAAACCGAACACAACGAGCTGTGGAGAGGAGACACCGGAGAGTAAAACTGCCTCACAACAAGAGAGTATCTGCTTTTTTGTGTATCCTGCGTGGCAAAGACTGCCATTCCCGCATCGGAATTTACAGTCACAGCAGATGCTGTTCCCAAAGCCAGCGGCACATCTCTATAGTCCCCCGGGACTGACGGATGCCATTATATTATATGCCATTATATATATATATATATATATATATATATATATATATATATATATATATATATATATATAATAAACAAATAAAACACAAACAAGGTGAAGAACATGTCCTATTGTATGCATAGTTCTGGACCAAACTGGTTTAAAGCGGTTGTTTCCATATATCTCAATTATCCGCGGTTTCCTGAGTTGTGAATAATTTAAAATTCATTGACATTGTTTACAGTGTGCACAGAATTCAAAATATGGCACGCAATGGCTGATGGGTGAAATTTTTTTCCCGACCAGTCACCTGATACGCTGTTGTTGTGTTGTATTGTTGTATCTTCTTTTGTTTACATTCACAACGGTAGAACATTGTTTATATATGTTTATATATGTTTATATATATATATATATATATATATATATATACATATATGCCCGGCTCTCTAGCGAAGTTGGTTAAACCGGACTTTCGCGGCGGCCGGGTGACGAACTCCTTGTGGTCCGGGTTCACTCCCGGGGGTAGGCAGAAAAGCCACATTCCTCCCAGATTACCGGTACCTATAATGGAATCAAGGCCGAAGGGTTGCGATATCCATAGTACTGAGCCAAAGGGTTTACAACTCATGGTTTCTGGATACGTAAAAAAAAAAAAAAATATATATATATATATATATATATATATATATATATATATATATATATATATATATTTATATTTGCACACACACACACACACACACACACACCCACAAAGGGCTGCAGATTGCACCAGTGTGATTGTAATATTTACGGGATCCAAAGTTGTAAAAAAATTTTAGTTGTTGAACAGGATATGCAGGAATTCTCTTCTGGTCTATCATCCATACTGAGACTGTTTAATTTCAGGGTGTCAAACCTTCAAAAAGCTGCTTAAAAAAAAACTGAAAACAGTAACACCTTATTACAATAAAAAATAATTAAGAAAAGATGTTAGGAACCGACATTACAGCATTTGGAACATTCTCATACATGCGTTAACTCATTTTCCAACTGTAAGCACACAGTGTCAATACACGTGGTGCCAGTTGTAAACTGCTTATATGCTCATTTTATTGATCTCTCTCTCTCTCTCTCTCTCTCTCTCTCTCTCTCTCTCTCTCTCTCTCTCTCTTTCTCTCTCTCTTTCTCTCTCTCTCTCATTTTCTCTCTGTCTCTCTGTTTCTCTCTTTCTCTCTCTCTTTCTCTCTCTCTTTCTCGCTCTCTTTCTTTCTCTCTCTCTTTTTTTTCTCTCTCTCTCTCTCTCTTTCTCTCTATCTTTCTCTCTCTCTTTCTTTCTCTCTCTCTCTCATTTTCTCTCTCTCATTTTCTCTCTCTCATTTTCTCTCTCTCGCTCATTTTCTCTCTCTCTGTCTCTCTCTCTTATTTTCTCTTTGTCTCTCTCTCTCTTTCTTTCTCTTTCTCTCTCTCTCTCGCTCTCTCTTTTTTCCCTCTCACACAGAATGTATACCAGATCCCCCGGTAACTTTCTATTGCACGTTTTTTGAGTTGTTATCCTCTTGTCTTTCCTCATGTGTGTTTCCTTTCGAGTTGGTCTGCTTTTGTTGTGTATTATTTTGTTTTGCCTTTTCTCGTGCAGGCTTCACACGTGTTTGTCTTTAATGGCTTTGTCTTATCTTTTCTTGTCTTCACTCGTGTTTACCTTCTCTTGTGTTTACCTACTCTCTTGGTTATCTTCTCTTGTGTTTACCTTCTCTCTTGGTTATCTTCTCTTGTGTTTACCTACTCTCTTGGTTATATTCTCTTGTGTTTACCTACTCTCTTGGTCATCTTCTCTTGTGTTTACCTTCTCTCTTGGTTATCTTCTCTTGTGTTTACCTACTCTCTTGGTCATCTTCTCTTGTATTTACCTTCTCTCTTAGTTATCTTCTCTTGTGTTTACCTACTCTCTTGGTTATCTTTTCTTGTGTTTACCTTCTCTCTTGGTTATCTTCTCTTGTGTTTACCTTCTCTCGTGTTTATATTTCCTTGCATTTGTCTTCTCTTAGTTTGTCTTATTTCCTCTTGTCTTCTCACGTGTTTGTCTTTCATTGTGTTTGTCTTCTCTTGATTTGTCAAATCCCGTTTTGTCTTCCGTGTATGCACGTATATATGTATCTATGTGTATGTATGTAAATATGTATGTAAGTATTATGTGAGTGTATGTGTGATGTGGGTATGTGTGTGCATGCTCGTATGTGTATGTATGTGAGTATGTATGTGGATATATGTATGTATATTTATCTTTGTAAGTATGTGGGTGTGTGTGTGTACTTATTATGTGTGTAAGTATGTGGGTGTATGCGTGATTGTATATGAGTGCATTTTTGATTGTGGATGTGTGTATGTGTGTGTATATCATGTATGCAAGTATGTATGTGTGTGTGAGACTGAATATGTGTGTATGTATGCAAGTATATGTATGTAGTGGGCGTGTGCATGTATGTGTGCGTTTGTATGCATGAATGAATGTATGTATTATGTGGCTTTGTGGGTATATGTATGTATGCATGTTGGTGGATGTATTTATGCATGTGTAGTTGTGTAAGTATGTGGGTGTATGTGTGTGCATTTATGTATGTATGCAAGTATGTATGTATATGTGTTAGCATGTGGGTGTATGTATGAATGTGTGTATGTTTGCATTATGTGGGTATATGTTTGTGTATTTGTTTGTGAGTGTGAATATTAGTGTGTATGTCTATGTATGCGAATGTAAGAGTATGTGTGTGTGTTTGAATGTGTATGTTTGTGTATACATGATTTGTGTATGCAATATTTTATAATGTATACTTTTTTTTTTATTTTAAACATAACATGCATTATTGATAACATGCACCGGTATTCTGAAGATAAGTGCTTAGAAGGGCCGAATGTCCGACTGACCTGCATGCCCAATTTGTAACCCTTTGGAGAAAAAAAAAGTTCGTTCGTTCGTTGCCTAATGTTTACTTTTTTTGTTTTGTCTGTGGTTTGTGTCTTCCGTTGCCTTATCTCGTCTTGCCTTCCCTCTTTTGTCGTGTTTGTCTTCTCTGGCTTGTCTTATCTCATCTTGTCTTCCCTGGTGTTGTCGTCTCTCGTGTCTGTCTTATCTTGCGTGTTCCTATCTCCGTTGTCTTATTTCTCTTATGTCGCCACGTTGAAGAATATAATAAATAACGAGCAGAGGAAAGCTATCAATAAAACAACAGCATCAAAAACAGTTTTCAGGAAATGAAAGTCAATTCATCTTAAAAGGACTTCAAATGAAAACCTTACGAATATGATAGAACTTATAATAACGATGCCATTAACTTGTAAACTGTTAATAATGTTGTTAAGGATGTCAAGAGTGTTAAGTCCATAACATTACAGAGTAGACTAACACGGTGACGTTATAATAACAGCTCAAAGATGGCCTCTCGACACACTCTTAACACTCCTAACAACAAAAGAGAGTGGTCACAACACAGTGGCATGGTTATTGTAATATCTACGACACTGTCTTTTCAAGTTTTAATTTAAATTCCCCATCGGACACAGGAAGGGCACGCAGAAAATCTGTTACCCTCTCTTTCCGCCCTCACTGACACATTCCGACAATGTAACTGGAGGAGGTGGAAAAGGAGGAGGGAAAAAATGAGGTGGAGGAGCAGAAGGAGGAGGAGAAAGAGGAAGAGAATGTAGAGCAAGAGAAAGAGAAGGATATGGAAAATAAGAATGAAGAGGAGAAGGAGGAAGAGGAGGAGGTGGAGAAGTAGAAAGAGGAGGAGGGAAAGGAGAAGAAAGAAAAGGAGGAGCCGAATGAGGAGGAGAAGGAGGGAGAGAAGAAAGTAAAGGAAGAGGAATAGGAGAGACAGAAGGAAGAGAAGAAGGAGGACAATGACAATTGGCTCACCCCTGTTGAAATGTGCGGCGGATTGCCACTCCATCCACTGTGACACCACACTGGGTCAAGGCCATGTTGAGTGGGTTTGTAAATGAAACGTCAAGTTTGAATTCTTCATTCTCCTTGACCTCGGCTGGTGCCTGACGATAGAGCCATACAGTCATGTCAAAACACAGAGAATACTCTCACGTGAGTTTCGGGGCCCTAGGGGAAACAAAAACTAGATCAACTGCCCAGGCCCCCCACCCACCCCCCCCCCACCCCCCCCAGCCCATTTTTAAAAAACCAAAAGTTAGTTGTGTATCCTTTACAGGACGTTGCCATATTTGGGCTGTTGTGGTTTTTCTAGGCAAATCTTACTTTGAGTAGTTTGTCATTGCTTTCTAAACTGTCAGCTCTCGGTACCACTGTCAAAACCAACGCAAGACAAACCGTCTGCAGCTGGGATCGAACCCGGCACCTCGGCATTACGAAGCGCGTTCGCATCGCCTAAGCGACAGGCTCGGCATTTTTTAACAAGTATGTTATAAATAAATGTCGACTAACTGAGAGCGTTTCCTTCCAGGTCGAAGTGTGTGTGCCTGAGAGGAGAGGAACCAACAGTCTGTGTACAAGGTATTAGTAATACAATGGATGTGCACGCAGAACTCCAGTTTTGAACAAGACGAAACTCCAGAAAAGGATGAACAACCAAAGCTTCTGCTGCAGTTTAAAGCCTTGCATGCAAAAAAGAAGAAGAAGAAGAAGACGATCATATGGAATTCGAGCTTTTGTGGGTACCAATGGGCAGAAGATCTGGAGTAGATGGAGCGACTAAAGGAGACAAAAGAAAACATGCTGGGATAAGACAGCTCTAGGACGGTGGATTTGAATCTGTATTCTACGCCTAAGGGGGAGAGGGGGCGGGGGCGTTAGGAGGTTTCAAAGGGGGTGTCAAGCTTCTTCTTTCGTAGCTTGAAATAAATTATCCATATCTGCAAAGGCAGATTATAAAAAATGAAAATATAAAAGCAGAGAATATAATACCAGGAAGGAGGGACAGGGGCCGCCCATCGCCAAGATGGGCACAGGATATAAGTGACTCCTTGAATTTAAAAATACATGAGGTGGGAGAGCTGGTGAGAGACCGAGTTCTTTCATTCAAACCGCGGTGAGAGCGATGTTCTGCAAACGACCTGCTACAGGATAATGATGATGATGATCTGCAATGTTGTCTTTAGTATGAACTTCACTGTCTTTCGTAATTCACATCATGGCATGTAAGGTTTGGCTTCCAGCAGTGTCTCTTTTGGCCAGAAGTTTTGGCTGGAATTGTTGTATTTGGGACAGTCATGGAGGACGTGATCTGTTGTCTCAGGTGCCAGTCCACATGTGTGCAAGGCTGAATGCCCAATCTTAAATTTTGTGTACATGTGGCTGGGGGCGTCACGCAATTGTGACACTGAGTACATTTAATTTTTAGTAATTCGTTACCCTAACATTTGTTTTCAGTTAATTAGAAACAGTTTGTTAAAACTATTTACTATTTACAAGACCCAAAGTGTAGTGAGAACGAATGCCGGATTGGCAGACAAGTTCTCTTAACAGTCCGAAGTCAGTCAGGGATGTGAGCTGATAAACTAGCTAAGGAAGGTGCAAATAAAGAACAACCTGACGTACCAGTCTCATCAACAAAATCTATCAGAAAGACAACAGATCGTCCTCCAAGATTGTCCCAAATTCAACATATCAAGGCAAAACCTTTGGCCAAGAAAAACATCGGTGCAAGTCTAATTTCACGGGTCGCTGAGTGAATTACAAAAGACAGTGAAGTTCATACTAGAGACAACATTGTAGATATAGATAATCTACTTCAAGCGAGCGAAAGAAGAAGAAGAAGAAGGGATCTATTCTAGCCCACCCCCACCCTTTTGCCCCCCCCCCCCCCCCCCCCCCCCCCCCCCCCCCCCCCACGGTCCAAACTTTCCATTTAACACAAATATTATTCATAGCAGTAGAGCATCCCAAATTAATGAGGACAATAAGTGCAGTATCCTTTTTGTCGCAGACGACAAAGTCCTCAGTGTAGCCATCGAGGAAGACGTGCACCGATACGTGGATGATCTCAAAACAGCAGCAAAGGCACAAAACATGAACATCAACACTAGGGAAAAAATGTAATGACAAAGGCAAGAACAGAAAAACCAGACACGATATACATAGAAAACCAACAAGTCAGGCAAGCAAAAGACTTCAAGTATCTAGGAAGAAATATTTCATCCAATGGAAGAATTTCGAAGCAGAAATTGATCTAAGGTGTAAACAAAAAAAATTGTTAGACATATGTCACTAATTTTGCAGAATGAACATGTAACAATTGACAACAAAAGAGCACTATTTAATACATTTTTTTTTTTGTTTTTTTGTTATAGCATTTTATTACCAGCGCCAAACGTGGAAATTAACAACAAAACACAAAAGCAAAATCGAAACAACAGAAATGAAATGTCTACAGCGAATCCTAAGTGTAAGTGGAAGAGAATAATCAGGTACGACGAGGTTTGAGGTTTGAACAACGGAACAATATCATGGCACACGGGTAATCACCTATAAGTGCTCCGTTGTTCTTTTAACTTAAGTCTTGAGTCCGAAAATGCTCAGCACAGGCGAGGCTCCTGAAATACTTTGGGTTGATTTTAAACTTCCAGCATCTACGTAAAACATACCAAGGTTCTCATCCGATGCCTCTTTATAACCGGACGGTGAAAAGCAATAAATGACTAGAGGAGGAGGAGGAGAAGGAGGGGAAGAAGAAGAAGGAGAAGAAGAAGAAGAAGAAGAAGAAGAAGAAGAAGAAGAAGAAGAAGAAGAAGAAGAAGAAGAAGAAGAAGAAGAAGAAGAAGAAGAAGAAGAAGAAGAAGAAGAAGAAGTAGGAGAAGGAGGATGAGTAGCGGAAGGAGCAGGAGGTAGACGATGAATAAAAAGAAGTCAGAACTGCAACGAATACGATGTATTACCTTGGCAGTCAGATGAGGCTTGTGAAGCCGGTAGTCCATCTTCTTGGCGAAATTCTGGCTGGTTTCTTCTACGTGAGCCATGATGGACACATCGATCATGCAGCCATCTTTCAAATGTCCATCGTACTCTTCCGGTGTCACTTCAACGTTCTTGACTGTCTCTGTTATAGATGAGAAACATAAAAGTCTGATATAGCAGCTGGACGCTCGCCTGCGGATCGGATTTAGCGCTTCCTTCGAAATCGGAGAGGCAAGAAACCAACAGTCTGCATACAAATAAGTCAGAACTGTAAAACAGATGTGCACGCATAATTCAGATTCTAGAACAGGGCTACAGTTCGGGAGTGGACGAACAACCAGAACATTCCGCCGAAATGTATAACCGGTGAACGCGAAGAAGAAGATACATTCTATGATTTTCTGCCACATGTGGTTGTATCTCGTGAGACGTTTTACTGCAGGGTTAAATGAATGAATGAATGAATGAATGAATGAATGAATCAAGAAGTGACATCACTGCCCCCTTGACATTCCCACACGTGCTCCGTCCCCTTCTTCAGTAGCCAACGAAGAGTTGCCATGTTAAGAGAACCAGTTGCAACTTGATTAGAAGTCCACCTATATTTCCCCCTCAGTTTTCGATATTCTTCAGAATCTCTATACACTCCTCTTTGAATTAGTCTTTCGGTGTATACATTCACTGAACATATCACCAACATCACCGCATCTCGCTGCGCGCTATATTTTGTGTCAGCTCCCATTCATGCCGTGGCCGTTCAAACAGGTTGTCCTATCTTTTAGGGGTTTTAAAGTGTGCGTTCCTTCCCTTTCGACGTCTATACGCACCAGGCAGAAAACTAACTCCACGTCGTCAATGCTGACAGTTTAAGGAAATTCGTCTCGAAGCTGAAGTCCCCAAGTAAGACCGCAGTGACAGAGACGAAGAGCCAACGCACAACACTGTTACACACTGTGCTGGTCGCTCACAACGTGAAAAACAGAATGCTTACAGCGTTTAAAAAAACACAACGTGATACCCCTAGAACATAGGACAGGCGCGAAAACAGCCACGGCATGAATGGAAGGCGACATAAAATATCGGGCCCCGAGAGATGCGGGGATGTTCGTGATATGTAGCTAATTCCCTATGTGTTCTATTGCACTGTCAATTTGATCCCTTAGAGCCTTCACCACATCCACTTGATCATATCGTAGCTCATGACTCCGATTGGAGCCGCGTTAGCGCAGTCGATAGAAAGCTCACTTTTCAACCCAGCTACGGCTCGCTGCAGCCATGGTCGATGTTCGAAACCGGGCGGTTTTCGGGGTCCACCCAGCCTCTACAAAATGGGAACCAGAGTCACACTCTAGGATGAACGTCGCTGTAGCTACAGAGTAACGTGCGGACGGCGACACAGGCGGACACGTTCTCATCAGCTGTCCGTTCTGGTGGCAGAGCGCTTATGGTTTATAACCGTGTGCAATGACGCTGGTTCCCATCTCCCGACTCTTACTTTTTTTTACTACTCTGATCAAGCACAGACCTTCCCCAGGCTTCAAGTTGACAAGGAAAGGCTCCGACTTGAGCGTGTCTGCCGTGATACCAGTGTAGAACATGGTGCTCACAGCGATCCTGCCTTTCATAGTTCGCTTCTGCTGACTGTTGTTCTTCATCCGGAGGCCTACCACGAAGTTGCCGCCCACTTTGGTGTTCGCTGAATCCTGCTCAATGCTGAACTGGACATCCTGGGCGAGAGAATAGACGATGTATGTGGTTAAATAATGACTATGTCAATAATAGGGGATGTGGATGTGGTACAGCGGTTCATCTGTGGATTCAAAGGTGGTGAGTTCAAATATGAAGAGCCAGAATTGACAATTAAAAAAAAATGACTCTGCTCCCAGGTCGCTCCAGCCCTAATGGGTACCAGCTAAAGTCCTGGGAGATAAAGGCAGCCGGCCTGATGTTGACCGCCCACTGAGTGCCGATTGGTCAATCAAATATAGGTCAATTTCTTTATGACGAATAGGACTAAAGACGGGAAAAAGGGTACTTCAATCCGAACAATAAAAAGGATTAGGAAGAGAGGAGACTCAAGAGAATTACTAAGATGAACATTGTCCCCGTGTGGGTTTTGGAGCCCCATTGTTGGGGGTTAAAAGGGGGGGGGGAGTTAAGGGTCGACAAGAGTAGACCAACTGCCTTCCCAACAATCATGTCGTAGGAGTCGACTAATTTGGGAGCGTGCTACGAAGTCGGAGTGTATCTGCCTGAGTGGAGTTGAGTCAAAAACTAACATCACAGCACTCGGAGCATTTCCATGTTTGCTCCGTCCTCATCTTTAGCAGCCAACGCAGAGTTCCAATACTGATAGTGCCTGTAGTGAACCCATTTTCTCCTAGATAAATTATGGCCGTGTGGGCTGTAGTGAACCCATTTTCTCCTAGATAAATTATGTCCCAGACGGAATGACGTCAGCTAATAAATGTAAATGGAATATTTGAGTGTAACTAGGACAGCGAGTGAATCACAGAGAAAACCCCGGCCAAATGAAACTCATGGGAACACGGAGAAAATGCTGGCCAAATGAAACTTATGCGAATCAAGGAGAAAATGTTGGCCGAATGGAACCAGTGGGAATCTGAGAACACGGAGAAGTCGTAATTGTAATGGGGGGGTTAGACGGTTATATAAGGCCTCAGAAAGAGCATGTGGGAGTCTCGTTTAGGCATAGGAAATGAATACATGAAGTATGGAGGAGCGTCTGTCGTATCCAGGAAGTGTTTGAGTCTGATATGTTTGCAGAGTTTTCCCAACGCCTTCCTGGCCAAACAGCAACGGCTGACGGAAGTTCCGCAGCCAGCTGATTGTGTGTTTGTGTTCGGATGGAAAATAGTCGTTATCTTTCAATTGCTGTGGTGATGGAACGTTTATTGTAAGGTATAGTTGATACTTTCGGTGAGTTAAGATAGATATGAGTGACTGTGTTGTACCCTAACATGTACTGGTTGAAGTAACAGCGAGTGAAAAAATAAAGGGTGACATAACTTTGTATCGTTCGCCATCGTCCATGTTGTCGGTCGGCGCATGAATGGGAGCGTTTTGTGACTAGAGCCAGAAAGAAGAGGAACAGAGTCATTGCAGTATTGGTCACAATCTAGTTATATGTCCGTCTTGCCTTTCCTCTGAGTGTAGTGAGCCAGCCAGACCCTCTGGTTACACCCAGGTGCCGCATTCTCTCCAGGCCATAATCTTCTTTTCCCACTGATTTCGCTGCTTGTCCCCAAAGGGCCTTGACCACATCTGTTAGCAGTCCCAAACCATACTCCATCACAGAAATAATCAGTTGCGGGTACAGCGCGTATAGAGCCTTTTTTGTTACACGTCCATTGATGCCATAGCCATCAAAGCATTCAGTCCTTTCCCTAGCTCTAAAGCTATCTCCTCCACATGGTATTTGAAAGACAGACTCATGTCAAATGTAATTCCAAGATATTTTAGTGAATGATCTCTCTTTATATATCTGCCGATTGTTGTGATGTCCGTGACGGCCATTAAAGTCTAGCCACTACAGCGACACCTTGGGAACTCTGACGCCTAGTGGACTAAACTGGCAACACAGGGGCTGAACTGCCTACACAGTTTCCTCTAATCCTCGAGTGACGGCCCCTGGCATATCCCCGGATATCAATTTTCCCGGCCAACGTTCCTCGCCAAACAATTGTCTTTACATAGACCTGGCTGCCACGCGATACGACGATAAGTGATATTGTGTATTTGTGCAGTGTTGTCTGATCTATGTATGTGCTGAAGAACGCTCCATGGCCGCAAGGTTCACGTTTTGTTTGAGTTTGTTATATTGTGAAGCTCGCTGATTTACTTTTTGTTGTTTTATATCCTTCCATGATATTGTGATGTCCGGCAACACATTACGCAAATGAAAATAAATCATTAGGCACTCTGAGGATGATGCGGTCAACGTCATGCTGGCTTCGTTCGCTTCCGATGACTTTTCCCATGACCCAGGTTGGTCTGGATCTGCCCTGTGATTAAACTACCGATGCTAAACTTACTCTTGATGTTGGCTTGTAGAGATCATGTCGGGCGGCACTGACTAAGTTAGCTCTGATGACCGCTGACCTCTCTTCGGGTGTGTCTGCGTGGGAAAAGATTAAAGGCTCTTTAAATCATGTTTAGATAAGATAAATGAATAAATCAAGAATTAACATCACTGCACACGAGACATTTCCACACGTGCTCCGTCCTCTTCTTCAGAAGCAGAGCTAGCCAGTCGTAGCCAACAAAGAGTCGACACGCTAATAGTACTAGTTGTGACCTGATTATAAATCCGGCAATGCTTGCCCCTCAATGTTAAACATCCTCCAGAACGTCCAGTCAACACCGCTGAATTAAGCTTTCAGTGTATGGATTCTCTGTATGTCTGTCCCTTTAATCCCGAAGAGCATTCACCACGTTCACTCTATAAGAAAGAAGCTTACAGTTCAGGGAAGCGGCAGCAGCAAATCAATCAGTATACTAGTTACCTCGCACGCCTGCATTGCCTGGACAGAAAATCCATGATAATTCTCATGACCTGAGTCTTGTCACGTGATCCAAGCCATTCTGATCGCAGAACGCCCATTTCCGAAGCATGCTCTGCGAGCCTGTCCCAATTACGACATGTCGGACTGTGCTACTCTCACGCCATCGTAAAGCCGCCGCTACCGCCTCCACCTCCATTCTCACACTAGATGTAGTGACGTTGTACGCGAAGCTCTCTGCTGTCAAACAGTGTCCATTCACCTTTGGAGTAAAACCCCTACCAATATTCTTACGCTCACTACAGACCTATCGGTATATATTACGATGTCACCTGGGTATGAATGTTTACTGATAAAACTCTTGCATCGCCAGCACTGTTTCACCAGCTAGCCAGTCCCGGCATCCTCGGTCAAAGGTAACTATCAATCTGTGCAAGGCTGGTTTGCTGGGTGGCACTCTGATCCGTTCCTTGCCATGCGCTATTCTGTCAGTAGTACACACATTTTGTTGTCTAGTGATTTCTGCCGGTGCCATTTGAGAGCTACCTCTATTCAGCCGATGTCCCTCGCTATCTCCTAAGACGTCATGCGGAAAGTGTTTCCTGCCTGTTGCGACGTCGAGGTATATTTTCAGATGGTATTATCTTTCAGATGGTCTTAGCATCCTCTGGATATTTTCTCCAGCTTATGCCGATATGTTAGGAAATGAGCTGGCAGATAGACTGGCTAGCTCTGCACCACTTGGTGATGAATTCATGTATGCCAAGTTAGATTTTATGAGGGCTCTTTATGAACGAGTAAACAGCGCGGAGGCGCAGATAGATCATTACGGTATAAGGAAAATGTCGCTGCGGGGAGTTACCAGGGGATCTGGCCAACGCCCAACACTCAGGGAAAGGATGAGACGGATAAACGATCAGACGGTTACTAGTACCATCGGAATAAGAACTCTTCGCTTGCTGCTGAAGATGGGAACTGAGAATTTATGGGAGTGTCCCGAGTGCTGTGATTTCGATTCTTAATTCAACATTCAACAGATGGTATTAAAAATGTGTTTCCGAGGGTGTCTCTACCTTACCACGGTGGGAAAGCTTGTGTTTCTCAACGACCCTGAGAGCTATGCCAGTTGTGTAGCAACTAGCAGGGCCTTCCCAAGCCAGAAAGGCCAAAGGGTAGAGAACAAAGAGAGACGCCCTGGTCCTCCAGGTTGAGTTTTGAAGCCTGGGGTGGAAAAACAAATCTTACGACGAGTCTTTGGACCCATCAAAGATGGAAACAGCGGGAATGGAGATTGAGAAGCAACAACGAAACTCATAATCTGTTTAAATCACCTTTGATCACTGGCATCATGAGAGCTAATAGACTAAAATGGTTGGGGCATATTGAAAGAATGTCAGATGACAGCGAAGTAAAAACTGTATAAACACAAGGGAGATGAATGGTCGTAGACCACGAGGCATACCAAAAAGACTGTGGAGAGATAGTGTCCAGACATACCTTCAAACACTTGATGTTACCAACTGGAAAGAGAAGGCCAACCAGAGAGAGAGATGAAGGGAGGCTGGTGTTATCTGCAGCAATAAACCTCAAGTGTTCGGAATGCTGAAGAAGAAGAAAAAGAAGTTTAAAAGAGTGTTTCACTGGCGTTGATTTAAATGCTGTTAAAAAATTATTTGAAGAGAGTTTAACAAGTGTTTTCAGAGGGCTTTAAAGGTATATAACGAGTATTTAAAGTGTATTTTTATAGTGTCTAACTCTTTCAGCTCTAGTATCACATCAAGAAGAACATAAAAATATGTCAGAGCTCAAGAAGAAGATTGACTGATGACGTAAAACATATTGTATATTCATACGGAAGGACAATAGCCGTTGTCCCCCCGCCCCATCCCACACACACACACACACACACACACACACACACACACACACTCTACCACACACCACATCGAAAGTTGGACCGCCGGATATTCTTCACACTGAAGTGAGGTTTGACGGTTTAAAACAAATGGAAGACCTTCTTCTTTGCCTCTCTCTCTCTCTCTTATCGTTCACCGTCTGTAAAAGCGGGAAGTTCTGGTTGTTCGTCCACTTCTGGACTTCAGCCTTGTTCAAGAACTCGAGTTTTGCGTGCACATCAGTTTTTCACAAAACTGGCTTATTTGTATGCATACTGTTGGTATCTCGTCTTTCAGGCAGACGTACCCTGACTTCGAAGAAACGCCCCTAATTAGTGGACTTTTACGACATGTTTTCTAGAAAGCAGTGCGTTTATTTTTTGTTCTCTCTATCCCTCCCCCCCCCCGCGCCCTCCCCCACTCACCGCCCCCACAAGAAAGAACCTGAAACCCACACAGGACAAAATGGAACATGATGCTGGTGATGTTGGTACGAACCTTCTTCATGTTTGTATTTGTGTGTTATATCCTCCCTCTCGTTTGAATTTGGTGCTTTTGTACTGATAAACTTGCCAATCCTGTATTTGAAAACAGTTTGTTGTAAAGCGACTAATAAGTACTGTTGTTTGGAGCAAAAAATGCAATGGTACGGACATGTAATAAGATCAAACGGCCTCTCAGAAACAGTACTGCAGGGCTCAGTAGAGGAAAAGAGGAGAAGAGGCGGACCAAAAAAGACTTGGTTACAGAACCTGACTGACTGGACAGGCCTCAGGCATGCAACCATGAAGTTCATCGCAATTAACCGCCAAAGGTGGAGAGAGCTGATCAGACAGTCAACAGAAACTAATGTCCCAACGAGACGCTAAGTCATGGGATGATGATGATGATGATGTTCGGAGCGGGAACACAGATAACAACTAAGGCAGTTACTAATGGTATCGGTACTTTCGTAATATCCGACCATAAACAGGGGAAATCTGCAGGTCATGGGACAATCTAATATTTTAGGAGGTGGAAGGATAAATTGCCAATAGGGGCACTTTGGGAGTGGCCCTAAAAAGGGCTAATCATTCTGGGTTCAGGAATTGACAATCATATTCTTTTTTTACATGTTAGTAGATTTGGAGAGAGGTCGGAAAGCGGCACCTGCTGTTGCGGCGGCAGCAGCAGCAGAGACGACAAACTATTGTTCTGGTGGCCAGGTAGTTAGGGTCACCATTGTATGTGCGCCACAGGTTGGAGATTACTGTCATGCCAGGTTTGATGTTTGTGATAATGATCGATAGAAGCGTGTCTGCTTTTCTGTCTGGAACGCAGAATATACAGCGCTCGCCTGTTTCGCGACAGACGCCACTAAAAACCCACTGTCTTACAAGATTTGTCCGCCTTGTAAACAGATTTTCATCAATTTTAACAGTGGTTTCTTCGCCGATCACTGCAGGATTCTTTAATAATGTATTGGCTCAAACCTTCAGTATATAATTGCTCCACTCAAATTGTATTCTTCGACAAGCCCAGCTCTACTTGGCACAATTCATTGCTTGTCAACTGCTGAGACCAGTAGTACAGCAACGTATGATCTGTCTGTAAGGCAGGCGCGACTTTCCACACCGCCGTAGGTCGTGGCTCTCGGTGAGCGATAACTCCATCACATCATTGTTATTGTGTACTGTGTTGTTCTTTATGTGCTGATGAAGGCTAATCGCCGCAACGTCCTTTGTTTATTGTGATCGATTTTGTAAAGCTAACTATTTGTTCTTTCTTACCAACCTTTTCTCTTCCCTATAATTGTCTACCCCTTTATAAAAATAATTGTTGCCATAACGTCTGGTACAATGCAGAATGCCATGATGTTGCAGGAAAGCAACACTGCTCTTCTTGTCAGGCAGCGCTGCTGTTAATTCGAGGAAATTCATGGCAATAAAGACTGAACACACAAGTCGCTGTAGAGACGCTGCCGGAAGAAGAAAGGAGCGAAAACCTTGTCAACGAATCGGAAGACACACAAAAAGCCCGAAAAAAAACAACAGATAGTCGGGTTGGGAAACCCGGTCTTACCCCCTAGAAAATATTGGACTGTCCCATGACGTCATATGTGGTCTGCTATTAGGAAAGAACCTTACTAAAGCTCTACCAACATTGATATGCACATCTGCACTGTTCACTCGCTCCCAAAGAGCTCTTGAAATATCTAGCTTGCCACGCAGCAATTTACCACCACCCGCCAAGAACCAGCCAGTCTAACTGCCTGATCATTTTCCAGCGCACAGGCATTCCGTGGTTAAAATATCCAAAAGAGGCTAGCTACCCAGGGCAAATGATGTTTGTTTAAAAACATAAACTAGGCTTTTGAGCCGAGCTGAGTTACAAACCGATTCAACAGCCACCCAAGACACTCCCATAATCGCTACGTCCCCATCTTCAGCGTCCAGAGAAGAGTCCCCTTTCATATGGTACCAGAACTAAACAGCTTACTTCTTTTTGTCCATGTAGACGCACTCATAGACTCCCCGCTGGTTGGGTTGCCAGTAAACAGTGTCGGCGTTGACTTCTGCGAACACAAACGGTCCATCGTACGGCAGATTCACTTCTCCATGTTGCACAGCTATCACAGAGGCTGGGCCGCAGCAGTAGATTCCTAACAAATGAGATAGAAGCAGGGCCATATTGAGACACTGATACTAGACAGTGATTCCCAAACTGTGCGTCGCGGCGCCCCGGGAGCCCGCGACCTCTTCACAGGGGGAGCCACGAAATATTCAAAGGTACCAAGTTTTTTTTTTTTTTTTTAAATCTCTTACGAAGGAATAGTCATACTTTTACTTAGGTTAGGGTGCCGTGGAAAAATGTTGATTAAAAAAAAAAAGCGGCACGACTAAGAAATATTGGGAAACACTGCCCTAAGCACTTAACACATTTTGATGCCCCTCTGCCTGAAGCCTCAGGCGTTGCGAGTCCGACTCGTAATTCCAACGTGCCGCGATCAAAACCCACTGCTGGCTGCGTGAATTTGTATCATGGTATGGGGTGTCCCAGGTCCACCCAGCCCAAAATTGGTAGCAGGATGGCTGTCCTTGGAAGTAAAGACGGCCGGCGTAATGCTGACCACATTACCCACCTACTGCCGATGGTCTGTAAAAATATGGGTGCTCTTTCCCTATACCCGATACGCCCAAAGACTTGAAAAAAGTACCTTTACTTACTACTTAGCCTCTTAACCGCATTATGGGCTCGTGGGCAAACCAGTGTGGTATAACCCTACAACCACTCACGTGAGTAAAATGTAAATGGTTATTTGAGAGGCACAGATTCGCAATCGTCCTCCAGAATGAAAAAAAAAATGATGTGCAAACTGAAACCTTAGTGTCATGTGAACAGATTGTAGAACGAAAACTGTAGATGATTTTTGACTTTCCCCTCGACTATTCGAACTTTTCTTCTACTTTGTTATTGTTTTTAAATTGCAAAGTCTTTGATCAGATTCTCTTCCCAATCTGCTTCCATACTTTATAGAGATGATCCATTCAATCTGCCTTGATTGCACAGTTTTTCTGATGGAATTTGTAAATATACTTCAACTGAGGAAAAGAATTGCTTAGTTCTAAGATTATTGAATTTTTGGGTGCTTTATTAATATCTTACCCCAAACAGGTGAAATCCACAGGTCACGAACGAGACAGTCTAATATTAAGGGGGTGGTAGATAGGCTACATTCAGTCGTGGGACCTAGGCTTCATGCAGACGTGTGACCTAGGCTGCACTCTCTCGTGGGACGTAAGTGAGTTGGGGTTAGGGCCAGTTCTAGATGTTTTGAGGTCGTTAAAAGCATAAGAAAGCCGGGAAACCCAGTCCCACCACCCTCTAAAATGTTGGACTGTCCTGTGACGTCATCTGGGAATAGGTTAATAATGAAGCACAATTTTTGTATCGTTTGCCCTCTCTTTATGATGCCCTAAGCACGCGATTTAAAAAAAAAAAAACAGTTAGTTGCGTATCATTTACAGGAAGCTCAGAACCAAAACAGTATTGTTTGGCTGTTTGGGTTTTCCTTGGCAAAGTTGAGTTCAAAAATTTACTATTGCTCTCTCAACCATTGACTCTTGGTACCACTGTCTAAACCAACACAAGACGGTCTGCTGCCAAATAGGCCGCAATCGAGATCGAACACAGCACCCAGGCATTACGAATCCCTTTCGCAGCGCCTCTACTACTGACGCTGGCTTAGTGTACTTAGTTGTTAGACAGCTGGGTAGACAACTTTCATATAATTAAGTTTTGTTGTTTCGATCCGTTGCCTTGCACACACACACACAAATCGTCATGTTTAACCAACATCAACCAAGGGGTAGCTTTAGGTTATAATTGTGACTAGGTTATGTGCGCCATATAGAATGGCTTAGCACTGCTCACCACCAAGTAGCTCTGAAAAGAACTTCTGCAATGTTCATACGATCAAAGGAGACAGACCCAAATACTGTCTTGACATGCAACGAAGTCGTCTACCGGCAAACCAATTGGTGACCCGGTCGCCGATAAATTTTGTGGTAACAATTGAAACAGCATAAATGATCTGCCTAAGACCTATCTGAGCATTATATATATATATATATTAACAAAACAGACAATGTATCAATCGGCACTCACAGAAAAAAAGTAGATTTAAGCAAACGTTAGTCTCCCCAAACAAAGTAGGTCACGTTCCATTGATACGTTTGTTGCACTTGTCTACCTTCCTTGAGGTTACAGGTGTGCCGCTCTCTTGTTTGCTTTATGGGTTGTCTTGTATTTACATTTTTATACCCAGAAAGAGAATCCCTGTGACATAGGTTTCATTACTTTTTAATGGGGTTTTGTGTTAGACCCAGTTTGTCGATGTTTTAGGAGTGTTAAAAGCGCTGGCATGCTGAAATATACAACACGCGATATCAACGGCATTACGGAATACTTTCATAACCTTGTGCCAAGACGTGTTGCTCAAGGTCGACCGATCAGAAGTGAGCTAGGTTTAAGGTCGACCAATTAGAAGTGAGGTAGTGTGTAACACTGTGTAAATGGAAGAGAGGGGGGGGGGGGACTAACTTTAGTTTTACAAGAAGTAGAAAGATAAGAGGACACACTAAACAACAAAACAATCGAAAGCTATAGTTACGGGCCGGGAATCGAACCTGTCACCTCCAAATGGCATATGCGCCTCGCTATGGAACCAGGTGTACTAAGAACATGACCAACTAGGCACCCAGAAAACATGGTGTCTTCATTGGCCATATTTATCTTACAGATTGAAATCCACAACTATGGAATACGGAGAGAATTCTTCTAAAACAATTTAAATAGCACCATAGGTTACAGAAATTTATATTAACCAAGCATAGGTTGAATAAAAAACAAAAAAAACAAAAACAATTACGAACAGATCGCACCGTAACGCTGTGTCTAGAATACAACAAACATTTAAGAAAGAGATTTGATTGGTCGGTCCCATTGTTTCACACATAATTCACATAATTAAACAGAGGAGAAGACAACGGGGCTGTAGAAATATTATATATATTATAAACAAACAAACAATGAACTGACTGGCACTCCCAGAACCAAGTCAAAAGAGAAAGATACACTAGATAACATAAAATATTGAAAGCCCATTTGGGCGGTAATGAAGATACAAATAGAGGAACTGACAGAGATATTAAAGTACGAATATGAAAGGCAGGAGGTGCTTTTATATACGTTAGGACTTCTGTGAAGGTCAAAAGAAATTAAAACTAGTACTAAACATAACATTTTTAATTATGATGTCAAATCAGCTCTGTAGTACGGAGACTCTCTTATGTAATACATTAAAAACGGTACATTGATTATTCTTTTAACGTCCCTAAACACTTTCCATTTCGTATCTGGGTCAGAAGAAGACGAAAATAATAATAATACAGTAATAATAATATTAATAATAATGGAAATTAGATACAGCAAAAGATGCAAACAGCGGGGAATGGAGAGTGAAAAGCAACAACGAAATTCATAATCTATTTAAATCACCACTGATCACTGGCATTATAAGAGCTAATAGACTGAAATGGTTGACGCATATAGAAAGAATGTCAGATGATAGAGATGTAAAAACTGTATACACCAGGGAGATGAATGGTCGTAGACCACGAGGCAGACCAAGTAGACGATGGAGAGATAATATCATGACAGAAGTGCAAACACTTGGTGTTACCAGCTAGAAAGCGATGAATGGAGGCAGGAATGAACCTCAAGGGCTAGGAAGCCTGAAGAAGAAGAGGAAGAAGAAAAAGAAACAGCACAAAAATACAGTTGCTAGTTTACCATCAGAAGCTTCTTGCGGTGTTGCATCTATAACTTGCCATCCACCGTAACCAGGGGGGAGATCTGGGCGGGTTGACCAGATCTCTGTCCACACATGGAAGTTCCTAGACGTAAGGGGAATAGTCTTTCTATTAATGGGACGGGACAACTGAGGTGAGAAACTTAACAGCATACATGAAATATCAAAGTCCTAAATCCCTGTATGAGTTCAGGGTCGCCATGTTAAAGAAAAGAAATGTGGGGGGGGGGGGGGGGGGAAAAAAGACAACCGCCCCCCCCCCCCCTCCTTTTTTTTCTATTTTTAAGAAGTGTGTCGTACAAGGCGACTAATTAGGGATCTTTGCTTTAAGGTCTGCGTGCGTCTGCTTGAGGTATAAGGAACCAACAGCCCGCAAACAAATAAACCAGATCTGTGACACGGACGGGCAAGAAAAACTCGAGTTCTTAAACAGGACCAAAGTTCAGACATGGACGAACAACCAAAACGTTCCGCTGGAGTTTACACCCGGCCAACGCTCTAAACAAGAAGTCTTTACAATAAAAAATAAAAATGTTGAATACTGAATTAGGAATCAGCATGAAAGCACTCAGGACACTCCCATAAGCGCTCGGTCCCTGCCTTCAGGAGCAAGCGAAGAGTTCCAATTGTGATGGTTCCAACAAATGTTTGACTATACATCCTCTTACCCCCCCTCCCCCCCCCCCTCCCAAAAAAAAAATAATAAGAGTCGACAACGTCAGAAACAAGTAGGGGATAGAACCAGTCCGAAGCTACGTGATAGGACAACAGGTCAAATGGTTCGGACATTTCTCATGACAGCCACAGGACATTGCTGCAGCCCAGAGAACCCTGCCACTTAGAAACAACGAAACCAGAGATGGAGGAGCTCGTCCATGCAAGCGACAATCACTGGAATATGTGAATGTGACGTGACTGGCACCTTTCCGTCTTTTAGACGATGGTGTCATATTGTGCTTTGTCGAGGCATGGGACTCAGAGCCCGTGGCGATGGCAAGTGTTTTTTTCCACAATTATAGCACTGGATTTCAGAATCGCAGTAGTCA